TTAAAGAAGTCAATGAAGGTGGCGTCAGTTTGAACATTGGAATCGAAATTTGAGTAAACGTCAGTTAGAAACGTCAGTTATATCGTGGAAAGAAAAACAAAAAAACGGTTCTTTGACGTGCTGGGATCGTTATGAAAGCAGCTCTCACCACTAAATACGGCTGCTCCAGCATTATTTGCCACTACCAGTGTTTCCAGATGGCGCCTCCGGCATTTTGGAACAGTAAGTGTGTCGTCGACGCATGCAGTGGCGGAGCGTCGACGCCGCCATGTTGAACACAGGGCCGCGGTTTCGGTAAGCGAGCACGGAAACACGTTTCAGGCACGCGACGCCGGTATGAGTCGCGCATGCGCAGTTTGGGCCAACGGTAACGGTAGTTCGGTAACGGTTCGCTAAAAGTCCCTAATGGCTTCTTTTTGGCGGAAAATAAGACGTTGCGCATACGTCCACAACCCAATGATTCGGCAAATTTCGACTGGATGATACGCGTTGGAACGATGCATTAAAAGCTGATACAAATATGAAAAGCGTATACGCTTAACGCTGGGAGTCGAGATACTGACTTTAACAGGAGACGGGCAAAGGAATCTAAACGTTATTGAAGCGTTTTCGTAAATTCTACACCTTCCTTTTTTTTTGTGTGTGTGCAATTTTAACCTATTTCTTTTCTCGTTTTCTTTCTTCTTTTTACTAAGAAAGAGTGGGTGATCGATACCCAAAATAGTTCCTCCATGCAACTCTCATTCCTTAAAACTGTTTTCTAAACGTTAAAAAAAAAAAAAGAGAGGTATTTTTGCATATTACGAACGCATTCACCAGGCATTCCGCATCTAAATCTTTCTTTCTTTTTCCTCATTTGTATGATCTTTTTGGGTTTAAATCGAACGGTGCGGAGCGCTCCGCAAAACTTTAATAAACGGGTTGAATGATGATTCGTGTCGTCCAAGCGGAGTCGTAAGGAAAGGAAGAAAGACAAAATGAAGGCGGGAGAAAATAAATGGAGAACCCCTAGGTCAGCGACTCCTGGCGCCCGCCCACCGAGGGCGACGAAGGAAATAAATGACGTCCTGTAAATGCTGGGATTATTTTCGGCACCGGCATCTTCATAACTAGGAACACGCGAGAAAAAAATACAGGGAAAGTTAAACAGGAGTGCAAAGAAATAGAGGAGTGGGAAAGACGAGGCAGTTAGCCTTGTGATGCATCTCCGTTTCAACGAAAAAAAAAGCGTTTCAAGAGTGTGAGAGAGAGTCTACTTTTAGGAGAGACCTCAGACCTTTAGATACACGGGCCACAGCGTGAAACGTCGTCGAAAGTACAACCTGAGCCAAAGTTACAGGCAACCTAACAAAACACGGGGCGTGACCAAGCATCTCATTATCGCTCTTTAGCCAATGAGGTTGCAGAAGTAGGCCACGACGAAAACAGGGAGGAAGGAATCATGAAGGAAGAATCACGAAGATAATAGGGACTTTTAGCAAACCGTTACCGTGCTCCGCGTGCCGCACTACCGGAGCCTTTGAAGCACGCTTTTGAGCGCGCGCCCCGCGGTCACGGTAACCGCGAGGCACTCGCTATAAGGCATGCTTAAAAGGCTCCGGTTGTGCGGTATGCGGAACACGGTAACGGTTTGCTAAAAGTTCCTACTGAGCCAAGCCTCGGGCTTGCTTTGCTTTAAAACAAGATATCGGTCACTATAACTGCTGGAGACGCGGTGCCCTTCGCCCAGTCGCGACACTGTAGGAAAGGACTTTTGTACTCAACGCCCGGTGGATATAAAACTAGCATTTGTCTTTTTTTTTTATTATTTAGCGGACGTATTTAGAAACGGCTCGTAAAACATGTTCAAAGTTATGAAGATACGAACGTAACACGCCACGTGCGCGCTACCAGCTCAGCAAATAGTAAGCCGGGGCAGGGATCACGACTCTTCAGTTTATACGTGAATTCAATTATTCGAACAGTGCATCGCTTTAAAAAGTAGTTTATCTCCGTGTTTATTTCTTTTAAACGTAAATAAAAACTAAAAAAAAAAAGTTCTGCATTATTGAATAATTTCTTTTTAGCGATTACTTGACGCTTCCTCATCTAAATAATATATTTTTTTTTGTAAGAAAGCAGGCGGCTTTCTTTTTATGTTAAAGAACATTCGACTTGTCTTTCTGGTAAAAGAAAATCCACAGTAGTCAGAGTGCGTGTTTGGGAAGTAGAGGAGTGAATATTTTTCATAATGTGTGCTATGAGCTGGTATACCGCTTACGCGAAAGTATATTGTAAGAAGAAACTTGACCATTTCGCATCTGCAATGAAAACCCTTCCACTGTGCATAGAAAGCGATCCCTCAATTACAACTTCGACAGTTCCGTATCAATATGTATACGCCTGTTTATGAACGGAGGCTGTCGCAGCGATTGTTGTTGCGTGCACTGAGTGTCCGTACAAGCTCGATCGAAAGCAAAACACCACCACTGTGCATGTGCACGGCCAACATCAAACTTGTCCATAACACCCCCCCCCCCCCCCCCCCCCCCGCCCTTGCTTTATCACTCCACACTCAACTATTGGTCAAACCGGGCGTTGTGTAAATGTAAGGGCAAGGGAACATTCCCTTTCTTTGCGTTCCTCGCCCTCAGGAAACCTAGCGGTTCATTGTGACCGGTGTGGCTGCACGCCATCATTTCGTGACATAAAGATTTTGTCTCGTCACAAAAAAAAAAAAACTGCGAGGGAGATAGACGAAGCGTTTTTTATCGCGTCTATCGGAGCTGACACGCGTGTGAGCGCTCCTTCGGTTGCCCTTGCAAATGACGAGGTGGATTTTGTAAAAAAGTGTGGCAGGTTCGTGTGACGGATCGTGGGCGTGGGTGATGCCGCATGTTATTGGTTTGAGTTGTTTGTTCTCTCCCCTTCCTCCTCTCTGTGTTTATTTCTCTTTCTTCAGAGCAATAAACTTTCAGTTGTAAGTCAGCGTCCTGTCTGTGTGTTTCTTCGACCTCGTCCTACGTCCTTTTTGCGCTGTCCCCTCCAAACAGTATGTACCACCAACTAGCCCAACTACATGCCTTGCAACCAGCACTGTACGTAATACTTATACGCGAGGTCTCTTGAATGGGTCATTTTCAAGCATGTGTTCGCCAAAACCGTTTGCATGAAAATTGGGCGTTTTAGTAGATCGCCTTTTCCCTTCTTTACGCTCCCGCATCGAAGCTGCCGGACCGGAACTTCTGGTTGCTGGAACCAGAGTTAGGCGGTGGCCAATCGAACCGTACCGAGGTCTGCGTCATCCCCAGTCGCCGTGTTTCAACTGTTACGGTGGAGCGAAGCAATTGTGGCAGATGAGAACATAGCGGACGGACGTCTGGCTACGGCGGATAAGTCGGTAAGCATTCCTGTGACGTCACTACTTGGGGTGGAGCTAAGCGTTCATCGAGACCCATGAGCTGCACACACTATTTCTTTATTTTTTTAACCCCAGAATCTACTCTTTTAAAAATGTCTGCGTGTCTACTTACCCGCAAAACACAGAAAATCTCTCCGATCTACGAAATCAGCTCAGCGAAGGATGAGGCAGAACATCCGTTTGGACCTAAAAATGAAGTCTGCGCTGTGGCATTAAGCAATGCAAACATGACGCTTTGCATTGCGTAATGCCACAGCGTATAGTCTTCATTTTTAGGTCTAAACGGATGTTCCGCCTCATCCTTCGCTGAGCTGATTTCGTAGATCGGAGAGATTGGCTCTTCGAGTGTCTTGCGGGCAAGTAGACACGCAGGCATTTTTTAAAGTGTAACCAGTCTACAAAAAAAAAAAAAAGTCTGTGAGTTTATTAACACGCAGGTAGCCAATCACGACGAACATAACCAGGAACTCAGCGAATAATGAAGGCGATAATAAAATTAGATTTGAAAAAAAAAAAAAAAGCGATATGCGCAGGAACAAAGTGTAGTGAACCGTCATGCTTTTAACCACATCAATTTTTTTTGTCTAGTCGTATTTTGAGTTTCGTCATTTGCTGAGATCATGGTGTAGTTCTTCGTAAACTACAATCCTATGTTTTGCAAAAAAAAAAAAAAATCTCACAGACCTTAAAGAAAGAATTATGACGCTCCAGCCAATGGCTATCTAGGAACCGTTTCGCTGGGGATTTCTTGCACAATTTGCGCGGTTTTTCGCGGTTACAGACGTCGCCGGCTCCGCTCCATGAAACAATTAATTATTTCGCATTAAAAAAAAAGAAAAGAAAAAAGTTTTTATAATTTTACGTTGAGTGTAGCAAAAGCGGCGTAGAGCAGCGCACACAAATGCTCGTTCATCGCAGATATCGAGTTTTTGCTCGGAGGCCAATGAAATCCGCGTACGTTGCGCGCTACGCTGAGTTTGATGCGCTCAACGTACGAGTAATAATAGCAACAACAGAGGCTTTTAGTATTGCGTATAGGAGCAAACGCAACCCATTTGCGTTAGCGTTGCGTGCTCCACCTTGCGCATGCGCATCATCGTCGTGCGTCAATCCAAGACCTGATGCAGTTTGGGCTCTGCGCACGCGCCGTGTGGAACGCGCAACGCTAACTCAAGCGCACGGTGCTTGCGTTCGCTCGTGTACGCAATACTAAAACTCACTAATATCCTTAATTTTCAAACAAAATCCGCGATGTCACTCTGCTCGTACATTGTAGAAAAGACACGCTCTGCATACATGATGATAACGTTATCCGCGAACACGTCTCAATCACGTTCGGAGCATGTCTGCATCATTGTATGTTTGGAACATGTCTGAGCAGGTCCGCAGACAGTTCTTGTATGACCAACCCGACCGTCACACAAGCAATAAACATGTCTCTTCTAAAAAGTATGTAGACTGTGCTTTCTGCGATGTATACTGGCAGAGGGACCGCGGATGAACGGAGCCTTTGAAAGTGAGTAAGTACCCTATAGTATACAACGCCAGCGTTGCGCGTAGGTATGCGTAAGCTCATCGTGCGGCCCTCGAGGGGACTCACCCTGATCGTGTAGGAGCCTCCGGGCACGGGCTGTCCGCCGAACTTGACGTTGACCTGGTGCTCGCCCTGCTCTTTCATCCTGTAGAAGATGGTGTAGGTGCCGTCGCCGTTGTCCTCCACCTGGACGTCCACGTCGGGCTCCTTGCCCGAGGCGTTGTTCACCGCGCAGGTGACAGCGCCTTTGCCCGCCTGCTTGGCGTCCACCGTCATGCTGTACTCTTCGCCGATGGTCACCTTGTCCAGCTTGGTCTCCTCTGCGAAGCGACAGAAGACCGCACACTTACTTTGGAGCTAGTTCACGTGGGTGCACAGCTCAAAGGTGAAAAATTGGTCGAATGGGTATTTATACGTTGATTAAACTGCGCTGCGAAAAATTACAAATAACGACACCAACACTAGAAAGACCACGCGACATACGCAAATGCTAATCTTACTTATAATTTACACTTGGGGGCATCTGGAATGGTGTCTTACGCTTACGCTGCAGGAGGGCGGTAAGAATAAAATTTTCGTGGTTCTAAAAATGTAGTGCCGTGCGAGCCGCAATAACATATAGATTTATTTAAAAAATATTATTTTTTTATAAAAGTTCATGTCTGTGATTCACTGATACTATATAGTACTCAGTTGCGTTAATAAACAACTTCCACCGTGTCTGGAATGCTGTCCTTGTCGTTTCTAGAATTTTACTCGTCATGTTTGTGTCATGCTAGCATTGCTACATTGCCCTCATTAGACCATTTTTGCTCTACGATGAAACAAAATTGTCGGTGCAATTTTATAGTGGAAAAGCTTACTGTAATCATTTCTAACCATGTTTTTGCAAATATTCCCGTTTCAGTTCCCCTGCTTTAGCAATTCATATATGGAAATACTACGCGTGTCAATATTTTTATATCCCATAAATACCAATTTCAAAATAATGGGATGCTGCAGATTTATAAAAAAAAACAGAAAGTTTTTCTGGACTCTATCCCTATATTTTTTAAAGCATTTGCATCTTTGTTTGTTTGTTTGTTCTTACGGAAAAATAACACCAAAAAAACAGCAAAATGCGAAGACATTTAGTGTTCCAAGGCTAAAATATCTTGGCGGATTTCCTCCTCTAGCCTCCATCCGAGGAGTTCCGCGCAGCACACATGAACGGGTGAAAGCACGTGGCCTTAAAAAGCGTTTTGAGCAGATGCCCTCAAGAACAAGACATCCTACAGACAGGGCTACGCTCGTGCCCTGTGCACTCAATTCGTGGAAGGCCATGGAGAGGAGCCGGACTCACGGGAGATCTTGCACTTGTCCGCGTGTCCGGTGGGCACTGCTTCGACGGTGGCGGGCGAGTTGGGCACCTCCTTGCCGCCATACTTGACGGCCACCTGGTGCTTGCCCACGTCGTTGAAGACGCATTCCGACCGGAAGGTGCCGTCGTCGTTGTCCACGACGCGAGCCTTGCGCGGCACGCCGTCGGGTCCCTGGGTGACACACGCAAGGTTCGAATATCGCCTTCTCAATCAACATCCATACAACGAACTGACTTTCGACGCGAGGATACATGATGGCACTTCGAAAGATATCTACAAAAGTGAAAGGCGTAAGCACCCGTTAGAACTTCCACACGAAACGGACAAATACGGCTTCCTTACCGGTATTTACCTCGACACTTAAGCAAACTGTATCATCTCTAACGGGGAGTGCCCTTGGTGGATTCAGAGCCATCCAAAAGTGCTCCTGCTCGCGCCCTTAGAACAGTAAATGTTAGTGCGCGCTTACACGCACAAGAAGATGCCAAAAAAAAAATGGTGTTCACATATCGCCCCAAATTCACCCAAAGGGATTCCCCATAACTTATCAGCGGACAGCCACGGCCGATCGATTCTGGTTCCTGCTCCGCTGGGAACGGCCTGCTGAGTGACTTTTTCTGCCAGGGGAAACAATTAATGTTCTCAAAGCGACCGCAGTGATTGGTATTGAGCGTGGTGGCCCTGACCGCAGCGGAGCCGGCTGCGTCGAACGGGAGGGAGCAGCAAGAGACCTGTCCGCTGGGTCATGCTACCAGTGACAAACTCAGAAAACTCAGCTGGATCGCAGTTTCTATGCCTTTTCTGGGGAAGCGACAGGCCGTTTAGCCAAGCGGCAATGATCAAGCGTCAGTGATCAAACTCTAATGGCACAGGGTTTGGGCGCGCATTAAAGAATGGTCGACTCGATGGCCAGGAGGACGCCCTCACCTTGACGACAACTTCAGCCTCGCCTACGCCGGCCTCGCGGGCGTCGATGGTAAACTCGTGCGGGAGGCTGGCAGGCACCGGCTTGCCACCCAGGCCGACGAGCTTCACGTTCTGGGGCTCGCAGGTCGGGCGGACCTTCATGCGGAACGGACTGCCGGGGATGTCCTGGTTGGCGTAGGTCACCTTCACGTTACAGTCGCTCTTCTCGGGCGGCGGCATGTAGCTGACGTCGTAGGTGCCGTCCTTGTTGTCCTTCACCGTAGGCTTCTCCGACACCGGGCCTGGAAGACGCCAATGAGGTCACGTCAGGGGGTTAAGGCCTGTCGTCATCGTCCTCACCGCCACTATCGTCCAAAGACCTCTTCTGATCGCGTCACCGTCACGTTCTTGGTGGGCAAGAGTAACGTTCTAGTATGTCTTGATCTCCCATTAGTTTCCATAATCGCGAACATTTTTGTTTTATTCTGTGATGGCGATAAGTAGGAAGCTGTTTTTGTGTACTATATAAAGCACCCAACGATGTGACTTTACTTGTTTATAAACACATTAGGATAAGCAGCGAAATTGAGATGCCGTGAGAGTGCTGGGAAAGGAAGTGTGCCTAGCGCTTATTCTGCATTGTAAAACAAATGTCGTGTTCGTGTCTCCGTTGATTTTAAACTACTGCGCTCAAAATAGAGGATGTCGAAGATGAAGGAAAACAAGTAAACTTAAGCTTGACGTCGTTTTTTTTAAGAGAATAAAGTTTCAATAAAGCTATTTGTTCATTGATTTTAATTTGGTTTAAATTACGGTATTTTGATCCTGCAGAGGGAACCAATTTGAGAACCAATAAACTTTAAAACATTTGACATAAAAAAGCTTGCGCGCACATTTAAAGTTAGTAATACAACAATGTTCAGGACGAGATAGCTTTTTTTTGCGACGTAATTGGGCTCCGGAAAGTAAAGCACTCAATGAACGCACCTTTCTCGGATGACACTTCGACGGCCATTGGAGCCTTGCCGACCTTCCGTGCGTCGACTGTGAACTTCTGCGGTACATTGGCGCGGCATTTGGCAGGCTCCAGGCCAGGACCATATGCCAGGACTTTTGAAGGGTCCACAGGAGCTTCTACGGGGATCTTGAAGGGGCTTCCTGCATAAAAGACGTCCGTGTTTGGTTTGTGGTTGCCGTTTTCTTTTTTTTGATTTACGGTGGACGTTTGTCACCAAGCTTGGCGATATAAATTTATGTATATATATATATATTTTTTTTTTGTGATAGCATGGATATGCATACTTTCAGTTACTTTTACTGACCAAGTGCTCAAAATTTGTGAAAGATGTGAAATATACAAAGGGTCCGTCGTTTTCGGGTTTTATATTTTTCAAATATTGGGGGTAAATTTCGGGCTCTAGTTTTCAGGCCGATAATAGGGGAGAAATCGGGTCTTTCTGAAGCCATTAGGAAATTGGGTTTTCTCGGGTCTTATTTATGAAGGGCCAGCACCTGAAATATGTTATTTACACGAACAAAAGTCAACAAAGTATATGATATAGCAATGGTGCTCCATCTTACAGTATAGTTCCGCCTTCCGACTCATTCTGAAGTGAATATACGCCAAGGTAACGCAAATCGTAGAAGTTTGTTACCATCAAACGAGTGACCGAGCAAGCAGTTCTGAAAATACAGATCTAGAATTGTTATCATTTTTCATAAATTTAGCTGATTTCAAGATGTTCAATGAGAAATCGGGTTCAACTCGATTTTCATAAAAACTGTCCGGGGTGCAAACATCGGGTAATATCGGGTTTTACCCGAAAACGAAGAACCCTAAATATCCATATAAAACGAGCAGTTGACTATTTCTTTGAAAATATAGTGACACTGCATAAGAGATAGTCAGTACACTTTTAACGGGGAACTGACAAAAAAAAAAAATATATATATATATATACGACTTGTGCTGGTTAAGTATTATCTAGAGGAGGAACATAACTTGTACGCGAGAAACAGCAAATAAAGAATAACTTTTTTTTCCTCTACATGACGGAATCAACAGCTCAAAGTGCACTAAAAATAAAAAAAAAAAAAAAACGACGCAATCCCGACAGGACGTTTATTTTTTTAACGCCAAAATGTTTTCGTGGCTAATATTTTGTTTGCTTTAATTTATTTTAAACAAATTCAAAAGCAACATAGATATCTGTTTGGTGCATGCCGGAAACCAGCGGCTTGAGCACAACCCTATTAACTCACCTGGAATGTGTTCCCCGGCAAAGCGAATGCTAATGTCGTAGTCGCCCTGCTCCGTGGGTATGTACTCGATGGAGCAGGTACCGTCTCGGTTGTCCTTGCAAGTCATCTTAGCCTCCGTTGGACCCTCGATGGCCAGCCCCAGACCACCGGGCCCCGCTCCCTTGGTTTCCACGGTGAAGCGGTTGACCTGCGTTTCGCCACGTAAATATATATATATAGATATATATATATAAAATCTTTTTAACAGATTGGTTGCATGGATGCCACGAATGCACTTGAACACACCGAAAGGAAGCGTCTGTGAAGTGCGCAAGCACTGTGTCTTGCAGACTGTTGGCTACAGTGTGACCGTCTGCTAAGTCAAACGCTTGAAACTTGCTCTCACTGACAAGAACGACTGAAACTTCTTTATTCCAAGAGGCTGGGACTTACGTCATCCAGAACGCCCTTCTCCAGGCCCGGGCCGTAGGCCTTGCACTTGGACGGGTTGCAGCCTTTTACGGCATTCGTCTTGAATGGTGATCCCGCCAGCGGTACGCCGTCGTAGGTCACATCGATAGTGTATGGACCTGCGGGCAGGCGTGTGATCGGTCGGGTCTCACATGGCAATGAATTAGTTCGTCTTTGTGGCCTTCAATGAACAGTCAGCTTAAAGATCGTTAGATCACGTGCGTTATCTGCGCTTACTGCGCGCCTTCAATGTCAGCCATCCACAATGCGACGAACAAGTCCGCCCGCTACAAGTAACGAGGCAAACACGGTTGTCTGCCGCATGGCGTGCCGCGACAAATGTCTGCAGTGCAAGCAAGAGCACAAACAAGTAAAATTAACCCACCAAAATAATTTTTTTTTACGAGAAGTTGCGCACATGGCTATTTGCAAAGCTACGCGCCCGTGCCTTTGTCAGCACTGCTAATGTTTGGAAAATGGAGTGGATATTCGCTGACCCTGCAGACACAGTTACCGCAGCTAGATATACACAGCCCTTACATAAGTTAGGCGATTTCATTGATATTTTTACGCGGAAATCGGGTTATACAAAACGAATATTTGGAGGGAGAGAAAAAAAAAAATAAACGGGCCACGTGTAAGACGTAACAAGATAAATTTACAAAAAAGTGAGTAGCTTCAATAAATAAAAAGTAGACTACAGTTTTGCACTTCCAATGCGCATATGTTCTTGAGTGACGGGATCAAACGTATATTCTTATATGTACAAAAAAATGTTTAGGGATAAGCAAATGGAATTGATATAAATTTACATGAGGTTTACACAGGGTTTGTTATACCCGAATGAGTGTATCAGTGCAGGATATACATTTCGTTTACCCCAAAATGTCCCGAGTAAGATGTTCCCACCTTGTTCATGAGGTATGTAGACGGATCGGTAGGTCCCGTCTCCTTTGGGCTGCACGGCTATCGGGAACTTCTTTCCCGAAGGGGTGTTCAGAGTCAGGTTCACTTTGGCCTCGCTGGTCTTGCTCAAGGCGCGCGCGTCAATGGTCACCTCACTGGGTGCCTCCACAAACACGGCTGTGAAAAAAAAGAGAGTTGCAATTTGTACGGGCAGGAGAATTGTAATGTATTCTGTGTCCTAATTACCATGACACACAGTCTTATGTATATGCTATCCAAGGCATATGTAACATGTATTGGTCGAGCTAACGCAAAATAAGTTCATTCTAAAGACCTCTGCGTCATGTAACCATGTACAGAGCTTAGCACGTAGGGCCACACAATAGGGAGTTTTAGTAGACCGTGTTTTCCCCTCCGCTAACCCTCCGCTGCGAAGAAACTGCCACTGCGCCTGCGTGCCGATGGCCTTGGCTTTAGAGTTCCGGGCAGCGGAGGGGCTGAGCGGAGGGGGAAACACGGTCTACTAAAACTCGCTAATGAAACAACACGCATAACGTGGTAGCGTGTAGTCGTAATCATGCCACTGCAAATATAGCCCGAGCTATACGCCGGTCACTTGTATTCTACGTGTATAATTCAGGTAGGCCAAATGAGTTGTGGCGTACACTGCGCGACACTAGGGAGTTTTCGTAGGTCGCTTTCGCCGTCCCGCAACGCTCTCCGCGACCCGCTACGACATCCGGAACTCTACAGCCAAGGCCTTCGGCGCGCAGGCGCAGCAGCGTCTTGTGCGTTGCGGAGGGCTTAGCGGAGGGGGAAACGCGGTCTACGAAAACTCCCTACTGTTAGCACGAATATGACGTCGCGCATTTCGGTGTGCAGGAGTGTGCGACTCACTGGGTTCGATGCCGTTGACCTTGATCTGTCCCACATCCAGATGCGGAGCCACGGGCACCTTGAAGGGGCTGCCCAGCACCTCCTTGGAATTGACGGCCACAGACACCTGCACGTGTCGGGGTTCGTTAGAGCGGTTGAACGGTGACCGTTACTTTGCAGGAAAGCCGAGGGACTGCCGTCGCTCAGTCTCGCGTCTTAAAGAAACGACTGTTTCGGCTCCAGAAATCTAAAAAACACAAGAACTGAAATGGCGGGCATAAAGTCAGCTGTTCCGTCACCAACGAATCTTTTTTTTCCCTATGAGATGGTGTCATCTGCAACCGAGAAGGTCACAGAACCAATAGGGTGAAAAAGACTAATTTTTACTAGTTGCTCGTTTTATTGGTTAGTATATTGACTGCTTGATTGCTTCAATCGACGTTTTCTATGTTATGTGATTACTGACTTTAAAATGTTTACCAGTATAATGCCGGTCAAGTAAAGGACTATTCAAAAAGAGGGAGAATATTTCAAACTTTTCTTTCAAAGAAACTTTAAAAGATAGAAATTCAATATGCGCGCATCTTGTTTCTTTTCATTCATTGGTTCCCCTTAAGACCCACGAAGGGGGAGAAAGAGGGGTGACATTTGGCGGGACAAAAGAATGCTGGTAATACAAAAGAAGAAACTTATCACAGATGGAGATTAACGGCAACATTATTGGCGAAATTCTGTGGGTCTTTTATTGTGGCAATGGCTTCTAGTAGTTTGTTTCAGTAACTAATAGTAAGCTGAAGAGGCGAGAACTTGTAAAGACTAGTCCTGGGGATGTCAACGTGCAATTTGAGGGAGTGGTCAAGTCGGCGAGAAATAAAAGGGGCAGGTTTACAGAACATCGGCTTACGAGATGGAGAGTGATAGAAAAGTGAGTGAAGCAATTTCAGCCTGCTTATTGTACTACGGTCTGTTAAAAAGGGCAGCTGAAGGACGGATTTTAAAGAGGTTACATTTACTGAGTAGTTGTAGTTTCGCAGAATGAAACGAGCTGCTTTCTTTTTTTTTTAATTGACTCCAATTTTATTTTTAAGAGGGCTTGGTGAGGGTTCCACATGGCTGAAGCATAAATCAAAAGGGGCAGTATTAGTGCGGTATAGGCTGATAGTTTAGGTTTTTTCAGACGCAAGGTAGAGGGGTCGTCGGAGAAAACCGAGTGACTTGTTAGCTTTTGCTATTATGTAATTAACATGATATTCCCAAGAAAGGTTACCGCTTAGGAAAACTCCGTTGTATTTATAGTGCATCACTTGCTCTACGTGGTTGTTGAAAATATTATGATTAAATGCAGTCGGAACACGTTTAGTAGTAAAAACAATGGACTTCATTTTTCAAACGTTAATCTAAATCTGCCATTTTTCGCACCAAGACTCGATACCGATTCACTCTAAAAAAAGCCCGTGCGTCTTCTTTCCTGCACAACTCTCGGAGAGCCAATCACTGCAACTCACGGAGGCAGCTCAGCGAATGACGATGCCGAAGCATATGTTAAGACCAAAAAACGCAGTCTGAGTTGTGACATTCAGCAAGGCAAAACGTCACTCTTGCATTGCTTAATGTAACAACTCAGACTGCATTTTTTCTTCTAAATATATGTTTTGGCATCGTCATTCGCTAAACTGCCTCCGTAAGTTGAGGTGATTGGTTATCCTAGTGTTGTGAGGGAAAGAACGGACTTTTTTTAGAGTTTGGGTCATTTTGCAAAGCGCTACATTATTTTCCAGTTTTAATTATAGAGTACACTGCACAATCATTTGCAAACAATCTGAGAGCCAAGTTACTACAGAGAGACAAATCATTGAAATAAATCAGAAACAATAACGGCCCCACCATGGTTCCCTGCGGTACACCTGATCTTACTTGCATGGTTGAAGAAGAATGGTTGTGGAGAGAAACATACTGAGTTCTAGGTTTTAGTAATGATTCCATACAGTTTATTATGTCTCTGTCAACCTGAAAAGAGTGAAGTTTTTTTAATCAATCGACAATGGAGAACTTTATCAAAGGCTTTAGAAAAATCAATGAAAATGGCATGAATATCTGTCCCGGTATGAAAGCTTTGATGAATGTCAGTAAATTCTAAAAATTGCGATTCACACGAAAGGGACCGTCGAAAACATTGCTGGTTTGGAAACAGTATATTATTAGAAGATAAGTGATTCATTTCTGAATATATAACATGATCCATCAGTTTACTAGGTACACTTGTAAATGAAATATGTCTATAAATTGTTATACACATCTTAGAGACGTTTTTGAAAACTGGAGCTATTTTAGCATGTCTCCAGTCCGCTGGTACGTCACAGGAATCCAAAGGCTGATTGAATAAACTAGACAATAAAACGCATGATACTTCTTTGGTTAGCTTAAGCAGCTTAGGTGAAATACCATCAGGTACAGGCGTGGAATTGAATGGAAGATTATCGATTAGCGTTCGAATGCCGGCTGGTAAAAATTCGGATTTATACATTTCATGGACAACTTCGTGAGGTGAAACGGGCCATGGTAGAGGAAATTCTTCCAATGTGAAAACACTACAGAAAGTAAGGTTCATAATTTCCCATGTTTCTAATTCGGTTAGATCATTCCCGTCGGGATCAATAAACCTGGAAGGTCTTGGGGAGGTCGAATCGCTAACCAGAACTTTTGAGGTTTTGATATCAGTAGGATTTGTAGGTCGCAATCGAATTACCTCTGCAGGATTTTACTTGGTACTTGTGAACCAAGTAAAATTGTGAGGCACATTCGTGATATCTCATCCAAGCAACTGGAGACCCTGTTGAGTTTGCGAGTCTGAAAAGCCGTTTCTTGTTCAAATTTGTATGGTTTTTAAGGTTCTTTGCGCTCAATATGAGCACCATGTGTTCCGTGACAAACATTATAACTGTTGTCCATGTCTTGCCACAGACGAATCAACTGGTCCTTAGGTATTCAATTCTCATGTTCAGCCATTCGATGTTTCATACCTTTAAGAATAGCAGGCATGGGCGGGACAGTCACACTTTCCTTGAATCTTCCCCTATTCAGTGATGTGCGGAATATGTTCCTGTCCCTCAGAGTTGTTCTTAAATAATAATATGAAATCTGTATTTTTATTAATTTCCCTGCACATTACAATACGACGGAACAATAGACGTACGCGTATTGTGTAATAGTTGCTCTAAATGTCAGCATAATATTTGTTTCTAAAGGGGACGTCTTGTGCAAGAGGGACTAAACTGCATTGAATGTAGTAAATGCTACTCTCTACTTGTCTATTGTTGCAAAAACTGGTAGCTATAATAAAAACCCATGTTTGGATATATTAGACCAGTATTCGTAATTCGGCTGGCCGACGTCCTTCAGCAGCCTTATCTTGCCAATATATGAATTGCGGTACTGTTGTACAGTAACTTTGAACACGCTAACAATTCCGCAAATAACTACTTAGCTTTAAGATATCTTGAACTTATGGAAGCAGCTGTTCGTAATATGCTATCGTCGCGAGTCTGATGAATTTCATAAAAAAAAACAGCTGTTGGGAGAATTTGAAAACGCTAACAATTCCGCAAATAACTACTTTGCTTTAAGGTATATTGAACTTATGGAAGCAGCTGTTGGTAATGTGCTATCGACACGAGTCTGACCAATTTCTTAAAGAAAACAGCTTCTGCAAGAATTCGAGGCAAAAAGAAGGGTCCGAGAGACCCACGCCTGGGTAGATTGACGAGAAAAACATTTTTGTTACGCGAGGTTTGAAACAGTACGCCATAATAACAAATCTTTCGGTTGCAAAATAAAGTAAATAAATCAAGTGAAAGTGCACAAAAAAATGGCTGCATGTTTCACCATTCTGACAAACGTTTTTAAATGCGGTAGCTTTATAGGTGTGAGGTGCTCTTAATTTGGCTGGCGCCTAGGGCAGTAGGACCCTTGATTTTTCACTGCATGCGGTGGGTGGTGCTCAGTTCAAATGGTGCCTATGGTAGAGCATTGTATAAAAACAGATTACGTCACATTATTGTCTCTTTGTGACGCTGCGCGCGCTTCCCTTCAGCAGCACCCAGATATAGAGCCTTTGAGCATAATTTTCTGGGTCACCAACAGAGTAGAAGCGCGACTTCCTGCCCTTTCCGCTCCTCGTTCTGTGCGCTCTTTCTACACCACCTGTTTCTGCTCCCCTCTTTCTTGCCCTTTTCTCCCTCCTCCGCTACGCGCGCTTTCTCACCCCACCTGCTTATCCTCCAGCTCCTGCGTACAGGGTCCGTAGCTCAGTCAGCAGCGCACTCGGCTGCCACGCCGTTGAGCGCGGTTCGTTCCCTTGCATTGGTCGCCGCTATTTTTTTTCTCCAAGACTGTTTTGCGGTTACGGGCTGACCAACCTACACATCTTTTGTTTACGCGGCTCCTGAGGTTGGCTGGCCCTATAAAGCAGCCGCTTTAAAAACAATAAAAGACGCGTAGCCGATGGTTACTTAACAATGTTATTCAGTAGTCGCCGGTTTAGATAGAAACCTCTATTGTGAAAGATGTTTACTCCCAATTCAACAAAATCATAATTAAAAGTAGTGATGGGCCAAATGTTTGCCGAATCTTGGGATTCGGCAAAGCCGAATTCTTGCCGAACTTTTCTACAGATTTGGCAGATTCGGCAAAAATACATTGTTGCTAGTTTATTTTTAATACATACTGCCACAGCTATATCCTACAATATAACTGTATCGGTGTAATTTTTGTGTGTTTACTGGGAATTTTAAAGTGACTTCTTGCAGAAGTGGTGTGACAACGGGGTTGGGTAGTAGCGGTAGTAGTCTGCACAGCGACGATACGTGAGTTTCGGTTTTGACTCCTCATCACCGCTAGCCTGACGCCCTAAACTCGTCGAACACAAAGCTGGAGCCAAAGTTCGCTGAGCGCGCCGATTGGACGTCGGCCACAAAAACGCGAAGTCATCGTCGTGATTGTCCAATCGGTTCGCTCCGTCAACTTCGCCCTCAAATTTGTGTTTGTGAGCCGAAATAAATTTGTGAGCCGAAAAAACAAGCAAATTTGTGAGCCGAAAACAGGATTGTTATAATAGCAAGGAGTGCTTTA